CCCTCCCTCCCCCCCGCCCCCTCGCCACCAGGAGTACATACCACACCGCGGCGGCCGCCACCAAGCCACCATCACCAACTACCAACCAACCAATCGACCAACCAACCACCATCATCACACACACACAGAGAGCCGGCGGTGCAACGCGCTGGCCCGTCTCTCCCACTCGGCGGCGGCGGCCCCCCACATACCCGGGGGTACAATCCTTAAACGACGAGGAAACGCACACCAAGGTGGCACGATAGTATGACGGTGATGCTGCTGCAACGTTCACTCACCCCGCAGTCGACGCACAGCCAAAAGACAGCGACGAAGGACTGCAGCGCGAAGCCGCCCTTTCTCTTTCTGCTGGACGACTGTCAGGAGCATCGGCACTCCACCGACACCGACACCACGACCACTACAAACAATAACAACAACAATAACAATAATAATAACAATAATAATATCAATAACAATAACGTCTTCAAGAGGGGCGCGCGGAGGAGCAGCAGCTGCGATCACGTCGCCGACGAGGCGCCGTCGTCGGTGACGTCCCAACGACTCGCCGGCGGTGGTCAGGACGTCGCGATGCGATATTACCGCCTCTGGATCTACGCCTGTAACCTGGTGCTGCTCGGTAGCGCGGTTGGCTTCGCCGCCGCGGTGTCGCAAACCCTCCTGTTCACCGGCGACCCGCGCCGGCACTTGGTGCCGGGTGTGCCGCGCGCCTTCGACTTCACCACGCTCTACGCGTACGTCGCATTGGCCGCGCAGCTCGGTCTGGTGCAGCTGCTCGGCTGCATTGCCGCCAGGCGCCTAAGCGTCCGTCTGCTCAACGCCTATTGGATACTGCTGCTGGCGTTACTCTTCGGCGACGCCATCATCGGCGTCGCCTGGATCTTCCGATTCGACAGGATGCGCGCCGAGCTCAGGCCCACGCTCAAACTACGTCTCCAGGTGCGCCCTCTTTTCATCATTTCATCTTCTTTCATCATCTCTTCCTTTCTCTTCTTCTTCTTCATCCTCACAATCATCATCTTTCCTCCCTCTTCTCCACCTCCCTTTCGCTATTCTTTGTTCTTCCATCTTATCTTCTCTCACTTCTATTTCATCATCTCTCCCTTCCTTTTCATCGACGTCATCTTTTCTTCGGATATTAATTTTTCCCCGTGTAGATTCCCGCGATGAACACTTTCATTCATTCATCCGCCAATTGTACAGTACCAGGATAAAGTAGTCCATATGCTTCCGATCTCCACGTATTTAGGTCGATATTCATAGTCGGATCTCACGTACACAAGACCGTCTCTCATCAAGTTCGTCTTCGGATGTTGTACGGTTCGCTTCATCGGCTGCGAAGCATTCCGAAGATGAACTTCGAGACGGTCTTAAATACAAGATCTGACTATGAATGACGGCCTTAATCTCCGAATTAACCCGGCTCGTCCCCTCTCCCCTCCCTCAGTCTCCCTCGTCTTCGGTTTCGCCACGTCTATTCAATCAAGAATCGCGTTCGCGCGAGGATGAACGCTTCATTCGCTTTCGCAGGTGGACTACGGCAAGGAGCCGCGGTTCAGCGAGCAATGGGACCGGCTGCAGCGGGAGTTCAGCTGCTGCGGCGTGGTCTCGTCCTCGGACTTCGAGGGCCGAGTGCCGCAGACCTGCTGCGAGTCCAGCATAAACGCCAGCGAGCCCTGCTCGGACCCGTACAAGCACGGCTGCGAGGAGTCGCTGATGCGCTGGCTCAGGAAGACCGCGGACCTTCTGTTCGTCCTCGGCTTCTGCGTGATCGCCTTCGCCAAGCTCTGCTTCCTCGGTATACTGCGCTACGAGATACGGGAGATGATACAGAAAATACGGATGCTGCGGGAACCGCCGCCGCCGGCCGCGACCTTCGCCCAGCCGCCGTTCTCGCAGGTCCTGCCGGAGCCGACGGCCAACAACGGCAGCATCGTCAGGCGCACCACCTTGCCCAATGCGGTCACGCCTTCCGGTAATATATACTATAGACAACCGGGATACGGTTAAACCCACTGCAGCAGCAGATTTTGCGCAGTGTCCTGCTGCAATTTTCGCCGCCGCGGCGGGCAGCGCTCGTTAGCAGAAATACAAGGCGAAAGTTGGCGGGATATAATGACGGATCAGGCGAGCGAAATCTGCGACATCTTCCATTTAACTCCTTAACGCAGAAGCCTGAGTTAATCCTTTCGTGCCACAGATATATATATATATATATATATGTACGGAAACAAAGTTTGGTTGAATTTACCGGACTAGTGAATGAACGAAACGCGTTTTGATTGAAGGGAACAGAATTTCTATTCTTATAAGAATAGAATTCGGGTCATAAGAAGTAGAGATTCTAAATTTCTTTCAAACTAGACGCGTCGGATTCATCCACTGTCCGCCAAATTCAAGCCAATCTTGATTTCCGTGTTTGTTACGGTAAAAAGAATCATCTTTCACAAATATCAACATATGAACCGGCGGTTTGGCTGAGTTATGAGGGAGGTTACTATTACAATAAAAAAAAAAATTACTAAACGTATAATTTGAATATAATTAGTAAAATGGTTCGTTTTCTCAGCAGAGAAATGAAAATATGATTGTGAGGACAATGAGTGACAGTTTGTTTCGCGCAAATAAATATTTATAAGTTTCTGAGGGCTTTGATTATGCATCTCATCTCAAAGATGTAAAATTCAAAACAGCACATCCAATATGACGGGTTTAGTAATTTTATCTTCGGTACGTTTTGTCTATATGCTAATATGTCTATAATTAGATATGGAAGTAGATTTTCTTATTATAGATTTGACAGTTTCTCTCGACGCAATACTTGATCCCTCAAACCGAGTTTTCTATTAATAACTTCGGAGATTTGTAATCATCGAAAACCTCGAAAAGCCTATATAAGCAATTTACATCACAACTTTACGTAAGTTTAACTAAATTTCTTCTCTTATATCCGCCGCATTAAATTTAGCTACTTCAACCTCAGATTTGCAATCAGCCACCTCGAAAATCCTCGCAACGATGCTCATTTTAATTTCACTCGTAATGGATTTCTCCGGGGCACGAAAAGGTCTCGCGGGCAGCGCTTCATTTCATATTACCACGACGCACGCGAGTTAATTTGGATATGAAAAATAATTGCACTAATGACATAACAAATATTGAAAGACTGTTTTAGTATTCGCATTATTTCTCGAGTCGTTCTTGAACTTTTGAGACAAGAATCGCGCGTTAAGGGGTTGAACGATGACGCAACGACGGATTTCGTTCGCCCTGCTGAAAAGAAAAAACCAAGTGGGAATCCATGCAGGAAATCCACACGGAATCCCACGATTGCCCCTGGGGATTTGCATAAAAAAACCCAGTTCCTAGGTAGGAGAATGAATCCATGTGGATTTCTGAACGCGGGGAAAAAATTAATCTTAAATCAAGATATTCTCGTACACAGGCAAGAATGTCACAATCTTCTTAGGAGACTTTCAGTCTTGATTTGATTGAATTTATACTACAAATATTACTCGAACTCAATTCAAGACTAAAGATCCTCCAAGAAGATCATAACATTCTTGCTTATACATGAGAATATCTATTTTTGACGCAAGACTGATTTTCTTCTCCGTGTGCATGAATTTTCACAAGCCACGCGGAGATTCCCACGTGAATTTTTAATATCCCACGATGAATTCACGATGAATCCCATTGGATCCCGTTGGATTTCCGCGAGAATCCACCTGGAAGGTTCTCAACAGAGTGGCACTCGCCGTCGATCCGTCAAGTTGTGCCAGCAGGACACGAGCTTAATGTGGACACAAGTAGCTATACATCTGCCACGGTATTCTCGAGTCTGTGCCGCCAATTTGCTGGCCTACTGCTAATGTTTCGCTTAGTGGGAGGCGCGATAACCAGCTCGGTTAACCGAACCGGTCGCTTTGCGGTCTCATCGTGCTAATTCGTTAATAAATTATCGAGTGAATCGATGGATTAATTAATTAATCAGTCTCAGCGGGCGCGATCGTTCGAAAGAGAAAAGTAGGTAGAGAGAGAGAGAGAGAGAGAGAAAGAGAGAAAGAGAAAGGGTGAAAATAGTCGCTAGACCACGCCGGGCGAGATCAACGACTGCTGATCGACTGTCGCGCTTTTTTCTCCTCTGTGTTTGCAGGCAACGCGTCGCTGTTGCTGCAGTCGGACGAGTGCAACACCGGCCGGCACCCGTTGCTGGCGAACAATCTGCAGGACGGCGGGGCCGACAGCGACACCAACAGCCACTGCGCCCTCATACTCGAGGAGACGACGCCGACCTCGGCGAACCACAACTGCACGGCGGGGGCGGGCCGCGAGAAGAGCAACGGTAACAACAACTACGAGATGCGTGAGTTCAACCGCAGGTTGCTGCTGTCGAACGGCGCGAGCCCGGCCGCGGGCGTCACCGCGGGCGGCCAGAGCAGACGCACCTGACTATGGAGATGGTGGCGAAGCACCTCGAACCGTTTCCTCTACAGGAGCAACCGGCGCGCCGACATACCGCTGTACAAATAAGCAGCGGCGAGACGTTACATCCTCCCATCGGGCGTTTCGGTTTCTTTTCTAAAAGAAAGAGAGAGAGAGAGAGAGAGTAACGATGCGAGACGAGACACGCACGCGATGGCACATGTGCCGCACACAATGAGGCCGACGGACGGACGGACGGACGGACGGACGAAGACACACGGCGGGCTGAACTGGCTGGCGCGAGTCCAACGTGCAACACGGACACGCGAGGGCGCGATCGGGGGAAGTGTGCGACGGGGATTCCAAAGGCACATAGCATAGCCCGCCTCTATATAGGGTGGTGAGACGGTAACCACCGCCTTGAACATCTGCGAAAGATCGAAATATTTTATTAACGACCGGGGGGATAAAGGTGGAAACGGTTTGTACTTGCAGAAGGGAGCTTCCAAGTGGCGCGTGATCAATTACGGGTTTACGTGGAAACTAGCGTGGAGCATCGGGGTGTCCGTTTCAGTCAGCCCTTTTCATTTCTTTATTTGTCGGTTTTGTTTTTAGAAGCTTCGTAGACGTTTCGTTCACTCTCGCGACTCTCAAGGAGTTTCTGAAGTCTGGCCGGGTTGATGCGCAAGTTCCGTTCTTCTCTTGGAAATCTCCACTGAACTCTGTACCATGTTGGAATGCTGGGTGACATAGGAGGAAACGAACGAAATGAGATGGAAGAGAAATATTATTTGTAATGTGTAATCTTTTCTAACGTCGTGCTATTCCAGTTGAGTTAAAAGTAACTTAAGCAAAAACAAGTAGAAACTAAGTAAAAATTGAGTTAAAATTGAATTATGCAAAACTATGTGTACATGTATATTTTGGAAGAAGGATAGTTAAGTTAGGATTATACATAGAGTTTCGCATAATTAACCTTTTAACTCGAGTTAATCCAACGCACTGCCTAGAATGATTGATTGCGTTTTAAAATAAGCAAACATCCCGTGCACATTTTGATTGAGAAAAACGGACAGAATTTTTGCATCAACCCGGTACCAGCACTAGCGTCGAGCCCCGAAAAGTCGTCATCTGCCACTGGCCGTTGGTATCAAATTTTTGTTAAAAAAAAATTTCGCTCCCCTTCACTCTCGTGTTTCGAAGATGCTCAAGGTAGCAATAATTACCGCCTCGCCCTGTGTACAATTTACCCCCTTCACGCGATTCCCCCGATTTCCCGGCGGTGCGCCCCTCGACGATGACGACGACAATACTGCGAGGAAGAGCATGCGACATGAAAGGACGGCGAAAGGAACATTGAGACCAAACGTTCGCTACGAATCGATATCACGGTGGTATTATGTACTTCGAATGAAAGACCAAATCAAAACATATACGATAGATAGGGAGTATCTCCGTTTTTGTGAAGGCGCGAGGAGGAGCGGGGGAGGGAGGGCAGTGAGGAAGGGGTTGAGGTGACGAAGCCTCCGCGGCACGCGAACGCGCGCCGACGTTGCCATCGCGTGTCGTGCGAGAGAGTCGTTTACCCGCTCGTTTCTTTTCCTTTCGTACTTCGGATCTTTATCATCGATCCAACACATCGCGGCCAATGTTGAGCCAACGTGGACGCGTTCGCCGTATCGTCGTCGTCCGGAGACGATGGCCCCCCCGCCGATACCTTTGAACCTTCGAGCGTGACGAGCGACTCGCGGAGCGCAACGAAACACGGCCGAGAAAGCAACGTTCTATTTGCGGCACGTAATACTAATAGCGCGAGTCATACTAATTCCGTCATCGTCGACGTCAGTCGAGCGGGATGTGTAGGTGTGCATGCGCTAATTTTAAATGACTATAGGAGATACTTTCTTCCCTCTCCCCCCCCCCCTTCCCTCTCCCTCTCTCTTTCTCTCTCGCTCGTCTTTTTATAGTTCCACGCGTTATCCTCCACGGCGAAGTTAAAGTCGCAAGTTACCCTCGCGAGACCCTCGGGAAACTCGCCCCCTCCGGTCCTCACACGGCCGGTGAAACTACTTTTGTAGATTTATTTCTAGCCGTAAGAGCCTTCCTCACACGACACGTACGCATACGTACATGTGGACACGCATAGGACGGGCTCCTCTCCCGGACGGAGATCGCGCCATCGATGGCACATCGTCGTGCGCATCATTCTCTTCCTCTCAAGGCAACGCGAAATCTCTCTTTCTCACACGCCGGTAGTATGTCACACACACACACAGTCGAGAGTAACTATCGTCGCCGGGGTAACGCGCTAACGAGAGGCTCCCCTCCGGCTTCTCCTGGACCAGCGGCCGATTCCCCGTCGAATCTTCGCGAGGAGGCCGTTTTATCCTGATTTGCTTCTAAAACACGAAGACGTCACGTCAATGAGTTCATTCGATCGATCGACTACGTATGACTATGTCTGAAATTATGCTACTCCCATGCAGCGAAAGAGAAAGAAAAAGAGAGAAAGAGAGAGAGAGAGAGAGACGCCCTTCCGACGCGATTTCAAACTTATTACTGCAACTTTCGTTGACCGACGTAAACTTTCGAGACTATATCTCCGCCAGCGACTCTACGCGCTCGGGGTCCTCTCAATAATGCAGGCGAGTGGCTATTCCTGGCCGACTGTACGAACGGTTCGCGGAAGCATTGACCATCTCCGCCGACCAACCACCACCACCATCACCACCACAACCTCGAAGAAGAAGAAGAAGAACCACCGCCGCCTTCATATTTCCTCTCACCCCGCGACAATTGTGCGACACAGTCCCGTCGAGAAAACACCACCCTGTGAACGAGCTCATGTGTCTCGAGACACGAGGATAATCGTCACGATAGTTACGGGAGATCATTTGTGAGATACTACTGCCAAATCGACCTTCCCCTCTGTCCCCCGCCTCACCCTCTCCATCGCCCCCGCGGAAGGGATGATATTTTTAAAGTTTCGGAAAAAAAACGGGTTTCCTCCCGAAATTCCGCGGATTTCCTCGGATTCTGCTCCAAGGGTACAGATGTTGTGATATTTACTATTACTATTAATGTAATAGTGGTATCGATATTTTTCTTTCGATACCGGGTAATTTTTTATCGATATTTTCCCTCGATATTCGCCGCTACTACTTTGTTCCGATTTCTCTTCTAATTTTTTACTCAGTCGATTTTGAGGATGTCATATATTTTTGTTTCATAAAAATTACAGTAAAATGCAATATAAAAATTCGTTTAGAAAAATTCATGTGTGTCCGATCGGAACCTGCCACATTACATACTTTTTCCCGCGAAAACGATGAGAAACCAAAAAAAATCCACGAAAAAAATTGGGGGAAAACCAAGTTTTTTTCCGAAGCTTGAAAACTATAGAAGAGATGTACAGCTGTTTCGGCGAATTGTCTTCGCAAAGGCGAGGAGGGTTCGTCTGCTTTTCCCGTTAGACTGACGCGACACGAAGAGTGAGCGAAGGAAGGAGAGTGCGAAAACGAGAGAGAGAGAGAACGAGAGATACTCCGATGTAGGTAACAATCGAACGATTCGTAATGATTTTTTACGTACATACGTATGACTACATCTAAAAGATACGCAAGCTGGTTGATTTGTTCCTGGTAAATGCGGGGCTCCGTTGATCGGCGGCGGAGACAGCGCGAAACGGGCGTCCGTTCGATTCTCTTCTTCTTTCTCCCTTTCTCAGGATTGCATCTCGTTTCGTTCTCTCGCCCTGAGAACGGCGACCCCGAGGAGAGCACTGTCTCCCTTCGCTGCCGACCAATGGCGAACCGCCGTTTTACGAGCGACAAACGACACATAACGTAACTCGAGAGTATAATTGGCTTCCTAGGTAGGATTAACAGAAAGACCTTAGGAGTTATGTTTAAATGGGGACGCGCAATGATAACGGATACAAATATTATAGTAGGCTTGTACATACCGGCGTACGATAGATATAATAACTAAAAGCGTCGATCGTCTGCTTAAGGAGAAACTGAGACATACCGAGGGCCGAGCTTGACGGCCGTTGCTTGCAACTTGCGCCACGTGATACATTCAGATCTTAATTTAGACTCCTTCATTTAGACAGATTAGAGTTCTTTGTCTGAATAGCATGTAATATACGCGACATTATATCTGAAAGCGCGATTGAGCCGGCGAACTCGGATTTGTCTCTGAATTCGAGTCTGAGTATCTCATCTGAGTTATCTGCAGGGAAAGACAATTCCGTTGGTGCAACTGAACTTCCCGTGGGGACCAGATGAAAACTTGCTTCTCGGAGGAACAGGAAGATCACTGACAGGAAGTTTCTGCTCAATCAATTGTTCTCTTCAGTTGTTCCAACCGAGTTCCGAAGTGTAGTAAGCCTTTAACCTTTTGCTCCGAGCAGTAAATTCTCAGCAAATATGATGACGTAATAACGACGTTTGTAACGTCGTTAGTATGTCTGTGGAACGTCACTTGATCGTTCGTAATACATCATCGTGTTTGCTAAGTTATAACGTAATTTCCAGCGTTTCCAGCACTACCAGACGTAGCAAATTCCTAAGATTCAATCGTTATTGTGACTCTTGGCAGCGTGGGAAACGCCTTATGTCAGAAACTACGCTACATTTTATCGTTCAGAACAAAAAGCTAAATACTTATTACACACGAGAAAAGGATTTCTTTGGATTTAATAAAATTCCTTTCAAACAACTTTTTCTTTTGGAATAAAGCAAGCACACGAATGTTTGATTCGACAAACAGGATTGTTTGGTTTCTCAAACATATAAATAAATATAGATAAATATCTTTACATTAAATAAAAGATTTCAATCAAACATTATACAATAGTTGTCACAATAAATTATTTGAAAGTAGTGATACTTTATGCTAGCAAAATATTACAGAACTTTTTTGTTTCAGAAGAATAATATTTAATATATTATGAAATAAATTTTTTTTTATTGAGAGCGAAATATTATTTCCCTCTAAGTAATACCGTTCTTTCTACTAAACAACATTATTTATTTTAACAAACAAAATTTTTATTCAAACGAAATATTTGACATTAAATTGTTGTATTGTTTATATTAAACAAATACGTATATTAAATCCAGAGAAACATTTTTCTCATCTTACAACATTGTAGATCCGGACTAATGCAGCTGAATGTTCACAGGAGTGTTCTTCAGTCGCGATAACGAAGACAATATCACTTCTCATCAGTGAGTTTTCATTTCTTGTCACCGAGTTTCCATCTGATCTCTATTCAGTTGGAGGAGCTGAATTTTTTTCCCGTGTGAGGCAAGTTCCAAGTGACGACTGTTGATACGGGTCTGAGATTATCCGCCATTGAATCAGAGATACCCCTCCCCCTTCCACACATACACACAACAAGCACATTTATCACACGTTGATTGACTCTTTTGTTCCGTCGCAATTTGGAGTTTCGACGCGTGCCTCGTGACCCGGTGCTTCTCGCGAACGTGCGAAGGCGCGCCGATAACGATCATTATTCGCGATGTATTCCCGGGAGAATTGTCGCTCGTCACAATGACAAAAGGGGTATCTTGCTGCTCGATGAATGAATCAGATCAGCGAGAGGGCCGACCACGTTCCTGGGAAAAGCGATGTTCCCGCTGCACAGAAAGGAAATTAGTATCAATTCAAAACTAAGAATTGTATCAATTTGAAGCTGTCATCGCGCTCTTTCCATCCAATATTTTTCCTCTCAACTTATAAAAATTATTCTCGAACGACAATCAGGGTGTCTACCTTAAATTATACACGTAAATATAGAACAAAAAAGAACCTCTTACAAACATATAAAAGAAGTGATAATATTTAAATTCCCCGATTTAAATTAAACTCCCTGAGAATCCCAGATTTTCTAGGTTTCTCCACGCAGTGGACACCCTGAAAAAGAATATGATATTTTCAGTGGAACTGCGTAGAATTTCTTCGTGTAAGCAAGTTTTATCTTCACGCGCGCGATTTTATATTCTTGCTTATACATGAGAATATGATAATATCTTGAACTGACATTAATTTTCTCTCCGTGCGCGAGAGATTTCTGTTGCTGCGCGCCGAAATGCCCTTGGGGGCGTTAGAAATACATCGCGGAAACAATTATCGGCACGTCCTCGTGATCACATTAGTCTGGACAACAGGGTAATTATTGATTCATTATACGAAAGCTTGCCTCGATGCTCTTGGGACGCTTCGATTGGTTAACGTCGCCTCGCGAGTTTGCGAGGCGACCGCTCTTCAGTTTTCTCGAGAGAGAGAGAAAGATAGATAAATAGGGGATCCTTCGCTTCTTTCTTCCTTTCTGTCACATTATCCTTTTCGTCTCTTCGCCGACAACGCGCAAAAGTCCGACCGTTCTTTCTTAATCAGACCGTCGAATCATTGTTGAATGTAATAAGCTAGTAATAATAATGTCGAAGCTTACACCTCGCAGACACACAGCCTCTGCCATTAAGTGTATATAAAGATGTTACATACAGGAGATATACTAATCGTTTTTTAATTAATTAGTCCAGAGGGGGGCCACGTTCGAAAAGAGGGGGGAGGGGAGAGAGAGAAAGAGAGTGAGAGAAAAACCCAATGCGAAATTAACATCAACACATCTATGGTCGAACGAGGGTAAATTAAACTCTGCTTCAGTTGTCGTATCGATGTACCGTCTCTACTATAGAAGATAAAAAAAGAGATAAAAAAGAGATAAGGACGGCGCGAGAAAGGTTTTAGACCTTTATACATATATATATGATGTATATATATATATA